GAGACCTCCCTCATCTGAAAATTACCAGGTCTGACAACACTTTCCCTCCAGCCTACAGGGAAGGATGTCAACAAAGCTACAGAAAGCTCACGTTCTCTAGACTTACAACCTTCCAGCTGTGCAGCTGAGCAGGAACCTTATAATCTCCATCCTTGGAGAAGGTTCAGAAATATAGACAAACAGGGTGAAAACTCACATTTGCTGAGCCTGATATGTACAAAAGTCTTCAGATAGTCTCCTCACAGAAGAGCCCAATTAAGTCCACATAATTAGTCCACACATCTAGATTAGGTATAGGTAAAACGAGCCTTTCCTCCATCTACCAAAACAGAGCAAAAGATTGACATAATACTCTAAAATATTATTGTTCTAATAACAGTATTATAAAGCAGTTTCAGCCATATTTATTTTAATCAGTATAAAAGTAGGAGTGTAGAAAATAAAGCTTTATTTATATTTTTAAAAATTGATTAAGAAGCTCTGATAAAACCTATTCGAGGGGTGATTGCTGTGCTGAAGGATAGAGAGGGTGTGGCAATTGTCAAACTATAGCATTACCATTTTCTGCTTCTGTGCTATTGCCTTAGCTCTGAGAGTGACTGGTTTCTGTCAGATTGTTAGAATACGTCCAATAAATTTAGAGACAGTCTAAGTGACTGTGAAATGCCTCAAGGGCAATAGAAATCAAATAGAAACACATACCAACTCAAGTCTTGAGTGATGACGGAGGCACATTTTAGATACCATGGAAATCTCACTGGGCGTGCCCATTTTCCCACTCTGGCAACAGAGGTTGATACCTCTTCAGATAAGTATTCCAACCTGTACATGTATGTGGGCTTATTCCTGAGCCTCCTGGCCATTCTCCTCATCCTGCTCTTCACAATGCTTCTTCGACTCAAACATGTCATCTCACCCATCAACTCTGACAGCACAGAAAGTGTTCCTCAGTTCACAGATGTAGAGATGCAAACTCGAATCCCCACTCCTTAAAGCCAGGATGAAGGTGAGCTTTAGTGGATCTGGGTAAACCCTCATATATGGATGTCCAGGAGAGTTTGCTTTCTTGCATGAAGCTTCCCATGTAGGGAATCCACAAGTTGTTCATTTAACAACAAACTGTTCATGTTTTCTTTGTGTTATTCTTCATCATTACTCTGCTTGTGGGCTATCTAAAACGTTTAAGACTCACTCTGAAAGGAATATAGGAAATGACAGCTGGTTGGGAGGGCTGGTTTCCATAGTAACCAAACAGCACCTGGGCCTTGCACAAACCTCAGACCACAGAAATTCATACGCAGTGGTTGTGAGAAACACAGGGTCTCTGGAACCTCCAAACACAAACAAAGAAGATTTGCTTTTGAAAGGGCTGATCATTCAAAGAGGATATCCCAAGGAAAGGAGAAGTCCTGATTTAGTGTTTTGATTGGAAAGAATCACCTCTATAAGAAGTTAAATTATGTCAGAGGTTAATGGAAGGGGCCACGAGCCCTTTCCCTGAACAGCAGTGATTTCATCATCTTAGGCCATCAGGTTTGTCCCAAATGAAAGAAGAGATTTAAAGAAACTTTTTCAGTTTAAAGAGTAAGTTTTCAGTTTAAAGAGTAAGTTTGCAGAAAGAAGTTTCTAGTAAACAAGCTCATCTAGAGAGAGAAAAATGTTCATATTATATCCATGTTAATTCTATACCCATGCAGCTTCTTTCTTTCTTTCTCCCTATCACCCTCTCGGATAGAATTGCACACAAATATGAGCTTTGTTTAAAAGGTGCCTTTGCAAACAAGACTCAACTGTACTTTAGAGCAGAAATGAAATGATTTTGTTATTCTGTTGTTGAATGTGGCTTTGGACAAAACATTCAAGCCTTCTGAGTCCCAGGGTTTTTTTGTTTTTTTTTTTGTTTGTTTGTTTTTTGCTGAAAAATGATTAGAGAGCTATTTAGTCATCATTAGACTCTTTAGATCTGAGTAAATTAAAAAAAAAAATGAGAGACAAAGGAGGACAGGACTAAACAACATCCTCCAACTAATCCTTATTGAGATCAATGTCCTCAAATGTCACATTTGTATTTCCCAGAGAATGTTTCTCCCTTCTTGATCCCTGCCAAAAGATGAAGTGTTTTACTTATTATCTGTAAGAGAATTATATTTTGAAAAATTCCATTCTCATAAGTAGCCCTAGTATGCTAGTAGTGTGGAGATAATTTAATTTTTAAAACTAACTTTTCAAAGGAAAACCAAAGGAGATGAGTACCATTTACATATTAGAAATTTGAAAACTGATCATATTCTTGCCACCAAAGGACGGGTATACCTGTGTTAAATTCTACCTGCTAAAACAAAAAATAAGTGATCCCTTGTATCTAAAGGGGGATCACCAAATTTCATAAAATGATCTCTCAGGAACTGTAATGGTGGTAAGAGAAAAATTGAATAGATGTTAGCTTAATGCCACCTCCCCCAGACATGTAGCTCTTCATACGCTGTAACCAATTTAGATTGGCCCTTTTTCTCTGATCTAAATCTAGGTTGGTAGTGAAATTCCCAAGTGCTTTCCACCTTTACACACAGTCATTTGTCAATGCTCCCCTCTCCAAGGGGCTGCAACTGTAAAATCCCCACATGCAGAGCTAAATTTAGCAGTAAGGCTAACTGCCACACCTGTTAGAACTGTGCACTGTCAGAGATGGGAGCTGCATTCTGTACCATTCAAAACAAATTAGTAGGTAGGCCAAGACTTGGACAGGGCATATATTTTTCAAAACTCAAAGTGACTCACATTATTACACCTTGGTGGTCTAAGTTGTGTGTTTATTCAACACCCAGATTCAGTGGACCGTTTAAAATTTGAGCTTTGGCAGCCAAACATGGACTTCATCAAAGGCTGGCAATAACCCCCAGAACTTTTTAAGAACACACATCTTCCCTCATTCCAGGCTCTCCCTTTTGTGCCCACAGTATTCAAGTGCACTTTACAGTTAAGAAGTCAGTGGCTGGATAAATGATTATACTTTCAACCGCAATGAATAGCAAGGTACAAAATACCTTGTTGCTGAATCCAATAGAGATGCAGACTGAAAATCTATTCTCTTCCCATCTGACCTCCCCAACCGAAATTTCAGGAGAATAAAACTGCTTTTTAAGCAATGACTTGGATGAAGATTTCTAACATGATTAGGTTGCTCACATGGAAAACTACCACCCTCTTTCATCACAACTACTCCATAGGGATCCAGATCCACACTGAGCATTAATCAAAGGACACAACACAGATTACACCAAAATAGCAGCATAACTCCCCCCCACCTAATTTGCAGTGACAATATAAATGGAAATACTTTTAAGCAGATGTGTCACTATAATGACTCACATGGTATTGAATCTTTAGAAAAATAAAATGAATGTTTTCATTATAGCAAACACTGTAAAGAAAATAATTTTTACATTATATTTATTCCCCAATGTATTAATTAACATATCTTACTGATCAAAAAGGCAGCTAGAGTAACCAGAGGGCACAATTTGAATTTATCCTTCTATTCGAAATGCTGACTTGGATTGCCTTCCCTCACCCCCACTCCCTCCAAAATTGCACATTAGCCAGTATACAAACAGATAGGTTATTTATATATGTGTGTACTCTGTTTTAAGATGAAAAGAACAATTCTTCATTTTTATTATGCTAAACCATATGAAATTGCCATTTTTATAGGCCAAAAAAACCTCAAATATCACCAACTTCATAAAATCCAACCTAATACAAAGACGCACCACATTAATTCTGTAAATAGTAAATTCTCCTAATATGCTTAAAAATAATCCAATTTTTTAAAAGATACTTTGCATATATTTCAGAATCATGGGTTGTATGAAACAAAGTATATTGTAAAAGGCTTATGTATTATGTATTAAGCAGAAAATATTAAGGTTAATCAAGTAAAGATGAATTCATCCAGCCCAACCTTTGCATCCATGCCAAATCTGAAGCTTTGGACTCTGAGTTTGAGTGCTGCAGATCCCACCATACTTACTACGTAGGTGTAAGGGATTAATTTTAATACATTTCAAGTTATATTTGGTAATACATTTTATTCACTTGCATTTGTACAAAAGAACTTTTTTTTAACAAAATGAAGAATTGTGTGGAATAAAAAATTGGGTTTCTTTTGTTTGAAATCATTAATGTTTGAAATATATTCATATTGCACAAAAATGGAAATATATTTGCATTAATATTTAGTATGTTATTTTTGATCCCTGGACAATAAATAGTGACTGGTTTGCTGATAACATGTTTCTATTGTCTGAAGAATGTAAAGAGAATGACATTAGTCTCTTCATCCCAATAGAAATTGTAATGATTGCACATTTGTGGGAGTTTTACGATTTGGAGGTCTCATTATTTTTTCTTATTCCTTAACCTCCCAGCTTTGATTCTCCACTTGAAAACTGATTCATGCGTTGGTTTGTTTAGTGGTAAGTTGTGAAAAGAGAAATGAATGATTTCCAGCCGTCAATAAGACTGACCTGAGGGAAGATTGAGATAAAGTATCTAAAGTGCCAATAGCCTTCCACATTCCTCTGCTGACAGGATTTTTCTTTCTTTCTTTTCTTCTTTTTGGGGGAGGCTATTAAAAGTTTGCTTTATTTTGTTGTTGAATCAAGCACTAGCTGCTAGTTACAGCTAGTTTTTTTTTTATTGCATTTTAGGTTTTGGGGTACATGTGAAGAATATACAAGATTGTTGCATAGGTACACACATGGCAGTGTGATTTGCTGCCTTCCTCCCCTTCACCTATATCTGGCATTTCTCCCCATGCTATCTCTCCCCAACTTTCCACCCCCTACTGTCCCTCCCCCATTTCCCCTCAACAGACCCCAGTGTGTAGTGCTTCCCTCCCTGTGTCCATGTGTTCTCCTTGTTCAACACCCGCCTATGAGTGAGAACATGAGGTGTTTGATTTTCAGCTCTTGTGGCAGTTTGCTGAGAATGATGGTTTCCAGTTAGTTTTATTGTGGCTTCCAAACTCACAGTTGGCTTAGCCTTATCAATAACCAAATAATAAACTAGGTCCCAATGGTTATGTCCACATCTAGATTGTTCAGGTGATCAGGAACTCTTTTATTTGTGTTCTTTAGCCTTTAATTCTTGCTTATATCTCCAAATGTGAAAAAGCTGAGAGGCTCCTGCTGCCCCCACAAAGAAATTAACAGCAAACAAACTCCAATTTTTTGGAATAATTACGAGTATCTTAACCAAATAAGCCCTGTAGCCATCAAAACAGTGGATTGAGCTGTGCTAAGTTTTTCTGCAGGTCTGGCCATATCAGCTAATCCAGCACACACTAACCCCCATTTCATAATTGGAGCCCAGAAAAAATCTGTTCTGGGACCTGCTGGATCGTTATACAATGGCCTCAGTTTCTCCGGAAGCATCAGCTCCACTTTATCAAGGAGACGGTGGTAGGTGGCCTGCAGGTCTCGGGCACCGACAGCCGACATCGCCGCCGAGGGACCGTGGGCAGCCGGGTGGGAGTGTGGCTGTGTTCTCGGCCCTGGCTGACAACGAAGGGCAGCTAGTCACTTTTTCTTGCCACAGCGCCTCTTGTCCCCCTCTTGCCTGGAGTGCCCTTCCCGCAGCTCTCCCCGCCCCGCAATCAAGATTTTTTTTTTCCTTGAGACAAGGTCTCACTCCAGTCACCCAGGCTGCAGTACAGTGGCACAATCACAGATCACTGCAGCCTCATTTTCCAGTCTCAGACGATCCTCTCACCTCAGCCTCCCAAGTAGCTGGGACTACTCAAACTCCTGGGCTCAAGTGATCCACTCGCCTCAGCCTCCCAAAGTGCTGGGTTTACAGGCTTGAGCTACTAGGCCTGGCCAGACGTATATATATTTTTAATGTAGCTTCCATTTTGTACTTTCTTCATTTGATCCTCACAGTAACCCTGTGTAAGTAGTGAGTGGTGATAACATGAAGTTTGCTTGACAAAAGAGAAAACAGGTACAGGGAGATTTGTGAGGCATTGTTGGTTACACAGAGGCAGAGTCGAGATTACACTGTAAGGCTTTGGACTCCCGTTTTAATACTCACTCCACAATGGTTTTCTTTCTGAGCACTGAAGAGATATTTCAGAGCTATTCATTCTATAACACTCCAAGTTCTGCAAACAACAATTGAGCTCTGTGGGTGATTAATTCCTTGAGTCCAACAATTCAAAACAAATTAATACAATTCTGCCATTATCTCTTCAAATAATTGAATAGCCTGGCAAGACACATTCACAGACTGAGGGAAAGTTTGCACAAAGGCAAACCCTGCAGCTTTAATTTACATAAATGAAGACAACAGGCAGTAATATGGATGAATTATCACCCACAATGCAAATCCCAATCATCTGATCATTGGATTTAATGTTCACAGTCAATGCAAGTTCTTCATATGCATGATTGTTATCTCTCCCCTTGCCTCCCAGAAATGAGAACACCTCACCTTAGGTAAAGATAATGGTCTTCTTTACAATTGTATGATGCTTTGAGTACACAGCAATTCTGTTTGTGCTCTAGAATAAATGCTATGACATTAAAAAGGGAAAGAATTGCCAACTAGAAAAGCTTTCTGTAGCCACAAAGATTAATTGTTGAATGAGACAAAATATGGAACATACTTGGAGTAGAAAAAGGAAATACACATAATAAATATAAGAGAGGGGATTCTGGAAAATAATGAGGAATTCCAGGTATTCCAATTCATCTTGACATCAAGTATCTATTGATTTAATCAAACATACTGGGCTAGGCTTTGCAGGAACCTAAAGTTTGCAATCAAAAAGTTTACAACCCAGCAAAAATGACAAACACTGAAATTCATTCATTCATTCAGTAAACATTTATTTAGCACATAGTCTATATCCCAGTGAAGGTTATAGCCTACTAGGACGGATAACACCAACCAGATAATTGCAAGAATACTGTGTCATAAAGAAGTATAAGGTGCTAGGGCACTTATAAAGTGGAAGGGAGGCCTCCTACCCTGGCCTAGAGTGGCAGGGAAAACATTACTAAATATATATAGCATATATGTATGTATGTATATATATATTTATTTAGCATATATATATATATATATAAACTCTAGTGAATGACTAAAAGGAGAGAGTAAGGCAAACACTCCATAGAGAGAATGACATGTGTAAAGAATCTGAGATCAAATAAACTTGATGTACTTGAAGAAGCACAGTGAGTGAGGGGGAGAAGTCTTCAGAAGCCTGGAAAGGTTGACAGGGACCACAACATTCAGGCCTTTGTGGGCAGCACTATAGACTTTTTACTTTATTATAAGTGTAGAGAAGAGAACACTGGCAGCAATATGGAGAACGGATTGAAAAAAGGCAAAAGAGGGCAGGGAGGCCAGCAGAAAGGCTACAGCAGTGATTCAGGAGAAAGAAGAAATGGATATCTTTGTGATAGATTTAGGAGATGAAATCAGCACTATGGAAAAAAATTTAGAAGTTCCTCAAAAATGAAAAACTGACCTATCATATCATTCAGCAATCCCACTGCTGAGTATATCTGCACTCACATGTTTATTGCAGCATTGTTCACAATAGCCATGATTTGGAAGTAACCTCTGTGTTCATCATCAGATGAATGGATAAAGAAAATGTGGTGCTTATACAAAACAGAGTACTATTCAGCCATAAAAAGAATGAGATCCTGTCATTTGCAACAACATAGATGGAACTGGACACCATTATGTTAAGCGAAATAAGCCAGGTACAGAAAGACAGACACCACATGTTCTCACTTATTTGTGATATCTTAAAAGCAAAACGATTGAACTCATGGACATAGAGAGTAGAAGGATGGTTGCCAGAGGCTGGGAACAGTAGTTGGGGGCTGAGGGGGAGATGGAGATGGTTAATGGGTTGAAGAGAAATAGAAGGAATGAATAAGACCCAGTATTTGATATCACAAGACCTAGTATTTGATAGCACAACAAGGTGTCTATATCAGTAATAACTTAATTGTACATTTTAAAATAACTAAAAGTATAATTGGATTGTTTGAAACACAAAGGATGAATGCTTGAGGGGATGGATATTCCATTTTTTGTAATTTGGTTATTACATATTACATGCCTGTATCAAAATTTCTCATTTACCCCATATATACACACACCTACTATGTACTTACAGAAATTAAAAATTTTTAAAAATCTGAAAAAGAAATAGAAATGAACAGTTATTTGAAGAATTTTTGAGCACAAAACAGAGATGAAATGTAAATAATACAAAGTAGAAAGAGGCCTATCAACATGCCAAGAGCCTTGAGACCCAGCAGAAAAGTAACCATGAAGGTTATTTTCTCAGAAGAATAGCAATGGTAAATGCTCAATTGTAAGTCTTTTGCTGTGATACTCTAAAGTATAACCCTCCACCATAACTGAACCTTCACTAAAGTCTGAAACTCACGTGGCTTAGAGATAGCAGTACTTTGGTTGAGTGAAGGGATTGTGATGATGTCTTGAGTGGTAATGCGGTAGATAAAAGAGACCACACAGAGAGAAGACAAAACATAGAATAAAAATGGTAAATTTAGTAAAAGCAGAAACTTCAATCCAGAGGCAAGTGAGAGAAATACATGACTTTACCCCAACCTTAGGTTTTAAAACTCATTAGATGCCTGGAGACAGGCTAATTAAATGTCTAAACCAATCTCTTCAACATTTAACATTTCAAACTACCAGAATATCCAATATTTGTTCACCAATCTAATATATATGTAGGTGATGCTGAAATCTGTTAGCTAATTCTAACGTTATTTATACTCTGGAGCTTAGACTCATAAGTAGAGAATGTCCTGGAGAATAAGATATTTACTTCCAAGCTTTGAAGAATTTCTACGATGATGCAGAACTAGGACCAACAAGTAGACTTTAAAGAAGTAGAGTTTATAGGCAAAGAATTTTGACTTATTGTATTTATAGTGAGAGTCCCCAAAATAGGGGATATTTTCTTGTAAAGTAGAACATTATTGAAACAGTGAGAGGTTAATGGACATAATAAAGATAATTATACTAACAATAATTGATACATTTTGAAGGTTTATTATATGTCAAGCTCTATGCTTAATATTCTACATGCATTTTTCCCCCATTTATGTATTTTATTGCACTTTAGGTTTTGGGGTACATGTGAAGAACATGCAAGATTGTTGCATAGGTACACATGTGGCAGTGTGATTTGCTGCCTTCCCCCCTATCACCAACATCTGGCATCTCTCACCTTGCTATCTCTCCCAAGCTCCCCACCCCCCACCGTCCCTCCCCTATTTCCCCCCAACTGACCCAAGTGTGTAGTGCTCCCCTCCCTGTGCCCATGTGTTCTCACTGTTCAGCACCCGCCTATGAGTG